TGTAAATCGATTGATCTCGTCGACGTCTAGAATTCGTTGTTTTCATGTATCTTTCGGACCTCAATACTTCACGCTAAATAATTTCTCCAAAATATATTTTCATATTTTTCGTCGCACATAGCAAAAAATTTAATTTAACAAGGAGTACTTTTGAGCAGTCGTTTTATGCCGGTCAAGAATAAAATTCGTTACTAAATCAATTTGCGTTTTTAAAAGAGCTGAATTATATTTATAGATTGATAAATTTGTGGTTCAGCACAAATTAAAAGCAAATTAAAAGCATCAAGTTAACGGCAAACGGCTAACGGCAGAGCTGAACCAATAACCTAAGAATTTCGTGTCTGACCTTGTGCTTTTGGTAGTCATTGGAAAGAGCGGCTTTTCACGATTATGGCAACGGCTTAAACTAACCCGCTCTCGCGTTGAAACTGCAATTCTCTACTTGCGCATACCCATAATACCTTCTGGTTTTTGGGGGTAGTTATTGTTATTGAAATCATTTATATTTGAATAACAATTAATTTTATTTGCACATCACAAAACCTACCCCCCAAAATCAGAAGGTATTATGGGTCATGTGCAAGTAGAGAATGTTAAACTCCAAAAAAGCAGATCACGTGATCTTTTCTGTCGTTTGCCGTGAACGTCATGTAAAACCTCTCTATGTCCGATTTGTACAGGAAACTGCTCTTGAATATGCACACAAATGCTGAGAGCCTCAGTGATAATTTAAGTAAATATAATAAAGCTATCTGCTTGCATGATATATTAATATTCTTAACTTTTCTAACAAATCATTATTTTCCGTTTAGTTGGCTCCATTGAGTGCTATGAATGTTCAAACGGAAATGGTAGTAGCTGCAATGGTRAAAAGATCCAGTGTTCYCCAAGATATGATAGATGCTTTACGGCAGTCGAAAAAGATCGAAAAGGAGTCAAGAAAGGTTGTAATTCCGATGAGGGCTGTGGTAACCAGAAAACGTCTTGCAAAGACAGATGCGATTCCTTTGAATGTTGTTCAAGTGACCTCTGTAACGCTGACTCTGGACTCAAGTCCATGTCGATCCTGAATGCCTTGGCTATGATGATTGCTTTTGCACGTCATTATTTGATGTAACCATGGAGACCAATTGCAATAAAAGTAGTACGGTTCGTAAAACTTGTAATTCAAATATAAAAGTAGTCCCTCGAAGATATTCCCTCTAAAAGCGTCGGTATTATCGGTTAAGCAGAACGAGGATTAACACGTATAAATCATTTTGTAATCTTTTGGCTTTGTGTGATCCTCTTCTATAAAATGTCACCACTGAAATCTGATAACATTCGCCAAAACTAATAGAATGAAATTATTTCAGCATTTTTGCGTGAGATCAAATTTCTACGGAGCCCTCTGGTGGACATATATGTACAAGTTTTTTAGTGCGAGCTTCTGGTCGACTTTTTGCCGGGTCGAGCTTTTTATTTTTCTGTCAAAATTACTGGCGACTAGAACAACTCTTGCTTTTTCCCCTCCTCTCCCGAGTCTCCCTTTCGTCCCCCCGCCCCTTCTGCCTTTAATATCCAACTTACTAGTTGTGTTTTAGCACGTCTATTGTAATAACAGTCGACAGTGCACAAAAATAATCAATCAAATCAATCACCGTCGTGAATATTACGCTTCAAAGTGATAGCGCCTGCGTTGCAGATGGTCTGCAGTCTCAGTTTCCATAAGGATGTCAAACTAAACCAATCCGCGCTTACTTTCATTTTTGACATGTATTGTTTTGTACATCAGTCGCCCTCGTGTCC